TAGCTGCATTAACAACTGCTCCAAATTGGAGTGATAAGTATTTTAGTGATCCAAATAAATTTGATTATAAAAGTTGGTTAAATTAAAGACCAATTAAAGAGGATAATGGATATGTATTTGTTCCTTTTTCTGCTGGAGGTAGAAATTGTATTGGTTAACATATGGCAATGATGACTATGAAAATTATGATTGGTTAAATTTTAAGAAAATATGATGTCATGGTAGATTAAACTGTGTAAGTAACATACCCTTTAGTATTGTTTATTCAATATTCATCTAAAGATCTAGTCAAATTAGAAAAGCGTAAGCCATGAATTATTATGCACATATAAAATAAAAATATGTCATTCTATATCATATTATTATATAACTTATACTTTTATCTACTTTTCATCTTTATTAATATTTATTAATTTAATCTAATTAAAATTAACCTTTAATCACATTAATTGAACTTTAATTGAAATTTATATGAACAAGAGTACTAAGTATTCTTCAACAATCAACTTGATTATGTATTTAAATTTCTAAAAAATAAAGAAAATTAATATCAAGAGAGGAAAATTGTATACCTGATTCAGAATTCAATATTTATATAATTTATAATGAATTTGTGGATATTTCTTTTTCAACATATTTCCTATGTTAATTTATGGTTTACTTTTATATCAAAAAAATTCTAAATCATCTTTTACTGAATAATCTTATTATATTTCTTATAAACTTTAAAATGATATAAAACAAATAAATAATTTAAATAAAATAAAATTATATCTTGAAAGAAGATTTTTCTATTTTCCTTTATGGATTTATTTGTTTATAAATAAATAATTTTAAATATAGATGAAATTCTGTTTCTATTTTGATACTAATTTAAAAAGGTGAAAGCTAAAGTTAATAAATAAATAATTTTAATAAATAACTAAATATACTTTGAGATATGTTGATATAATTCATAAAAACTTTTTGATATTAAAGATCAGGAGTTTTTAAAATCTCTACCAAAAAGACTTCCATTAAATTAACAATTGATTCTACCTAAAGCTTTTGATACAAATAAATCTAATTTCTATTGTACGACTTAATTTTTTTTATACGTATCATTTGGTGTAATTTTTGAGTATTTGCGAGTAATTATACTACATCTTTTTCTGGAACTATCACTTCCTTCATTATAATATTCATTATTATTAGAATATTCTTTAATGATAGTAAGACTATCTATTCCTTAAGTAAAACTATCTTGATTAAATTTTGTATGATTATGATCTAAAACCTTAATAAGTTATTAAAATACTATTTCAATAGAAGGATCATCAGCTCTCTTTGCTTCTTTATAGGTTTTTATTAATTAGTTTAGTATCTTTAATCTTTATATAACTCCTTTTTCTTCTTCGGTTCTTCTTAAAGTCGATCTATCAACTTTTGGTTCAATTCTAAATTCTTTTCTTCTTTATTTAGGAATGATATCATCAAAGGATTCCGTATCAGTAATTAATGTTCTTGATAAAGGTTTAATTTGTTAATAATAATCTGCTAATTCAAAATAATGTTCTTTTCCATTTCCCATTTAAAATTTAGGAAGTTCAACTTTTTTATTAGATTTGCTTAATCCTATAAAATAATCTTTTAATCTTTCAAATTTAATTTACTCTTCTTTATTTTATAATTCCATCAATCCATCATCTTCTTTTGCCTTTATAAATTTTTCATAATTTTATTCCTTAGGTTTTCCTACCATTTGCCAACCTTGAATTATTTATTTTTTATCTAAAGAATTTGAAAATATTTTATAATTAGGAGGTCCGTATTTTGTTAATGAAGCATCTATTCTACAATGATCTGTTAAACAATATTTTAAAGCTTTATCTTTAACTAATCCTGATTTACGAAGTTGAGCATAAACAGAAGCATCCTATTCATTTGGCTAAGGAGATCGCTCTTTAGGTTAAAATCTTTAGCACTATTTATAAAAACCAATATCCCTAGGAGATTTTTGTTAAAAAGGCAATCGAACTTGTTTCATTAATCAAAATTTTTATAATTTTATTTAAACATCATGGCTTTTTACATAGATGTGCATTCAGTTTCAGAAATTACTCTTAACTGAACACCTTTTAAAAAAAATTAATATTTTCTTTATTTCTCTTTATCAAAACTTTAATTCCTTCTTAAATTTAATTTATAGTCTAAAAATAATTAATTTATTATTGACACATTAAAATAATCAATTTATTAACTCTAATTTGTTTATATATTACTTTTTATTATTAATATTATGAATAAATTTTTGTTCCTCTCCTTGATTATTTCTGTTTCTTTAGCTTCTCTTGATGATTAAGATCTCATCAAGAAATATTCTATCAAAATTCATTAAAGAGGCGACAATTCTAATTATCCAGAAAAAGGTGATTAAGTCAAAGTGCATTATACAGTAATTATTTATTTCTATATAAGGGAAAATTACTTGATGGCACAAAATTTGATAGTAGCAAGGATAGAAATCAACCTTTTGAATTTAGAGTAGGAATAGGTTAAGTCATTAAATGTTGGGATGAGGTTGTTTTGAATTTAACACTTGGTGATAAAGTCACAGTTATCTGTCCATCTGATACAGCATATGGAAATAGAGGAGCAGGAAGAGTCATTCCACCTAATTCAGATTTATAATTTGATATTGATATGCTAGGATTTAGGGATTAGGAATTATGATGAATAAAATTTTATATACATAAAATAAAAAGGTATTATACAAAAACTTTTTTTATTTTAACAAATATTGCTTTTATTTTCTTTAAATACGTCTCTTAAGATTAAAAACTTGCATATATTTTAAATATTGCATATAAATAAAGATAAAATATTCATCTATTCATATATTCATATAAATTCTTAGAAATAATAATTTTAGAAATTTTCTTAAAATATTCCATTTATTCATTATTTTTATTTTTAGTAAATTGTTGATAATGAAGCTTACAGGATGAGAAAAAATTTAAATATTTTTATAATTTTTTACTAATTTTATAGCATTGAATCTTTTATAGAGCTTAAAAAAATAGCGAAGACATTATTGACAAAAATAATTAAATTTTATACATTTTTTTCGGATTTTAAGTTAATATAAATATTATTGTTAAGTCATTTGTAAAAAAGATTTTCAAATTGAAAATTCGAAGTATCAATCCATATTCTTAAACCTTTAAAAGAAGTAATTTTCCTTATTACTAGATTTTTCTCATATATTAATACTATTTGCAAGTTTGAATTTTTTATTTTCCCAAATTGTAATAACTTTTACTTATAATTTTTCTTTTTCTAATTCTAATACATTGAAATTTTTCTTACTTTTTTAACCTTTTGAATATGATAAGCTATCAACAGTCGTATTATTATTTGTAATTTTATTTTTTAGATATTAAATATTAGATTGAATTTATAATTTAACTCTATGGAAGTTTGGCAGAAGTGATGATTATTAAATCTTTGGCAATTTATTTGTCTAATTTGAGTATTTGGCAACAAAAACTCACTAAAATTATGTTTATAAATTAAGAAATTTATTAATTATGTTATTTACAACCATGAGAATATTATAAGGAAACGGTTTAAGAATAGCAAATCAGAAAATAAATTTTCTTTATCTCTAATTTTATGATAATAAAAATAGAGCATTATTGGATAATTTTTTAAACCATTATCATTTGATTAAAGCTTAAGATTAACCTTATTCAATTTTTTGAGTTTAAAATAAAAAATAATGTTAACAATAATTTAATCTAAAGTTAGAAAATATAATTAGAAGTTTTAGTATGGAAAAACATTCTAAAATTGTTATTTCTGTCCATAATTTTGGTGTGAAGGATAATTTTCCTAAGTTTGGGAGATTATAGGTTAATTCATTAATCGGAAAAGAAATTAATTATATTTAATTATTATATTTTAAAGCATAAACTTTATGAGAATGTTATTATATATTTAAAATTAAGATTTACAAAATATGGATATAGAATTTTAATAATCTCCTGTGTTAAATAATGGAGAGGAGAAGAAAAAATCTAATTATGTTCACATACCAGTTTATGATGTAAAACCAATCAAGAATTACCCTAATTCTGCTTAATAAGTTGAATCAGATGAATAAACAGTTTAAATAGATGAACGATGGTATGCTAAGAATGAAAATTATAAGCCATTAACGGCAGATGAAAGACCTGGTTTCATACGAAAAGTATTGATTAATATAATAAGGTTTATACTATTATGATACTACAATTAATATTGACAGTTGTGGCCTGTTGCTTTTCATATTTTTGTATCCCATATCGTGATTTTCAAAATGAGTATTCAGGTTGGGTTTATTTGGCAATAGCAATAGCAATAATAATTGAATTGATATTATTGTGGATACCAAAATATTCCTGGAGAGTTCCTCATAATTACATATTTCTCTTGGTTTTCACACTGGCTGAAAGTTACATCATTTCTCAACTTTGTAGTTATGTTTTCAACAAATATAGTGAAGAAGGAGGTATACTGAAACAATAATTAGGATTCATTGTATTAATGGCTGCTGCCCTTACTTTAGCTGCTGTGATAGGCCTTACTGTTTATGCATGCAAAACCAAAAAAGATTTTACCACCAAAGGTATTTAATCAACACAACCTAATTAAAGGGGCATTCTTATTTATGGCAAGTACTTCTTTATTTCTTTTTGCTATATTGTCTGGTGTCTATTATGATCAAGCCATGAGTTTACTTTATTCATTGATTTCGAGCCTGCTATTTGGAGTTTATTTAATATATGATACTCAATTAATTATAGGAGGAAGTGTAATCCATTTATTTTCATGTAGACCCATAAATTATCGATTGATGACTATATCATTGGAGCTATGTTCATTTACATAGACATAATCTATTTGTTTGCTCACATAGTTTTAATTATTATTGCATGTTTCAGATGAAAAACAAGAATGAAACTCATATTATAAAATTTTATAATATCTTTTTAATCATCTTAATCTCCATTATTATTTAATAAATAAAAAATCAAAAAACTTAATAAATCAAAAATCTAATTTAACTATTTTTTTATTCTCTTCGATCATCATTGCATATAATTCTACTTGATTCCGATACCATTTATTTTCATTCATTAATTTACCTTAAACTTCTATTAATCTATCAATTTCAGCACAATGTAAAATTATTCGCATCAGCAATAACTGCTATTTACTGTCAAATTTTTTTTATTTTTAATCCAATTCATTTTATTGTTACTGGATGGCTTCATTCATCCTGTCTAATTCACTTGTTAGTAGTATCAATTTCTATTTACAATCAACATATTAAACCATTTTGTTTTTGATCTCTGTCTCTTATTAATTTTTCTTTTCCAATACTTATTAATAATTCAGTTCATATTCTTTATTTTATGTTTCTATTCTCCTTAACTTTTCATTTTATAAATTATAATTTTCCAGTAGTGAACTATACACTTTTTATAATTCATCGTAATCATTCTATTACTTAAATATTTATTATTAATTAATTATTTCATCGTTTCTTATACTACTTAAATTTTCATTCTCACAAACTAAAAATCCTAATTTGCATTCTAATTATTTTATTGTATACTATAATTATTAAATAAACTATTATTGCTGAGTAATTTATTAATATTAATTTTGGACCAATATTTCCTTTTGAGCTATCATTTTATTGGCATCAGTTAATTGATTTTCTAATTGTTAACACTGAAGTTCTTTCTTAACTAATCTTTCAGATAAGTCTTTTAATTAAAGTTCATAATTTTTATTTTCATAACTATTTCCCTTAATCTCTTAGTTTTAATGCTTTAATTTATCATTCTCTTAATTTAATCTTTCTAGTTCAACTCCCATTAAAAAACAAATGATATCAAATTAATTCTTAACCTTGCAATCTCTGCCAGAACTAAAATTCATTAATTCAATTATACATTGTTCTCGATGTTCTTTCAGCAGAAAAATTGATTTTGGTTAATTACAATTTCTGGTACTTGAACAAGTATTGAATTTAGTATCAAAATTTGAATTATAATCATCAAGTGGCATTCTATACATGATAAATAGTTTAACCGCTAAATATTTATAATAATATAAATTACTTTTGCAAAACAATATACAATTTATTAATTGAAAATGAAGATGGTTTCTTCTTAAATTCTTTATGTCCAAATACTATTATTGAGCTGTATGAAAATATTCCTAAACAACAAAAAATATAGATGAATGCTTTTTGAATAATCCTTGGGTATCACTTTGATATATTGAATATTAAAATCAACCTAACAATTAAAATTTTATGTTGAAAAAGTGAAAAAGAGTATCTAATAATTAAATTAAATAAGCATATACAAGTTTAGTACCTTTAAAGTTACATATCGCCAGTAAGGTTTTAAATTTTAATTGTGTATTGTTGTTGATAAAGGGTTTTTTAATCTATCATGTACTCTTTATACATGAAAGGGTAATGAGTAATTTAAATTGATACAAGCATTTATAACTTGTTATTTGTGAGATTAAATTAACATTCATATTAAAAATATATATTAATATTCTCATGAATCTCTTTTCTCTTTTTACCCTTTGATATCCTTAGGAAGTAGTACACTATTAATTATTCCCATATCATCTAACATTTTTCATTTCTTCATGGTCATCTCCTTTTTACAAAATTTAACTATTTTAAGTAAATCTAATCATTTTTTTGCTTTATACTTATATTAACGAAAATACTAATAGTAAAAATAACAGTTTATTCCATAATTTTTAGAAGTAACTTCTTGTTCACTTAGTTCAAAAGCTTAAATAAATTAGTATACAAAAGACTCTAAAATTTATTATACAAAGTAATTATGAAATTTCTTTGAATATTAATAACTTTATTCTCGATTTAAAAGTTATTGATATTATTTTCTCCAATGAAATTTTATTCAAATGTAGATAGTGTAGAAGTAAAAATCATATAAAATGAATTGATAGGTCATTTAGATTTTATCATTAATTTATAGTATAATTCGTAGAAGATGTAAATAAAAATATATTAATGGAGTCAGTTTTAATAGATTATCTAATTTGATGGGTAGAAAAAACACAAATTAAAATAAGATTTTAATAATTCGAATAAAAATTCAGAATCTTAATATTGAGTAGATATTGATGAAAAGAGAGCAATATCTTGAGTATTATACTGAAAATTTATGGAAAAATTAAATCTTTCAGTGATAAAGGGCATTTGTTAAATAAATGAATAAAAGTTATCTAAAACAAATTATGAGATTCAGTTAAAGATTTATTAATTGAAATAATGTTTGATTAAATGTTCTGTGAACGTTAAAAANAAAATCAACCTAACAATTAAAATTTTATGTTGAAAAAGTGAAAAAGAGTATCTAATAATTAAATTAAATAAGCATATACAAGTTTAGTACCTTTAAAGTTACATATCGCCAGTAAGGTTTTAAATTTTAATTGTGTATTGTTGTTGATAAAGGGTTTTTTAATCTATCATGTACTCTTTATACATGAAAGGGTAATGAGTAATTTAAATTGATACAAGCATTTATAACTTGTTATTTGTGAGATTAAATTAACATTCATATTAAAAATATATATTAATATTCTCATGAATCTCTTTTCTCTTTTTACCCTTTGATATCCTTAGGAAGTAGTACACTATTAATTATTCCCATATCATCTAACATTTTTCATTTCTTCATGGTCATCTCCTTTTTACAAAATTTAACTATTTTAAGTAAATCTAATCATTTTTTTGCTTTATACTTATATTAACGAAAATACTAATAGTAAAAATAACAGTTTATTCCATAATTTTTAGAAGTAACTTCTTGTTCACTTAGTTCAAAAGCTTAAATAAATTAGTATACAAAAGACTCTAAAATTTATTATACAAAGTAATTATGAAATTTCTTTGAATATTAATAACTTTATTCTCGATTTAAAAGTTATTGATATTATTTTCTCCAATGAAATTTTATTCAAATGTAGATAGTGTAGAAGTAAAAATCATATAAAATGAATTGATAGGTCATTTAGATTTTATCATTAATTTATAGTATAATTCGTAGAAGATGTAAATAAAAATATATTAATGGAGTCAGTTTTAATAGATTATCTAATTTGATGGGTAGAAAAAACACAAATTAAAATAAGATTTTAATAATTCGAATAAAAATTCAGAATCTTAATATTGAGTAGATATTGATGAAAAGAGAGCAATATCTTGAGTATTATACTGAAAATTTATGGAAAAATTAAATCTTTCAGTGATAAAGGGCATTTGTTAAATAAATGAATAAAAGTTATCTAAAACAAATTATGAGATTCAGTTAAAGATTTATTAATTGAAATAATGTTTGATTAAATGTTCTGTGAACGTTAAAAATCTTTTGAATATATAATGTTAGCTTTTTTAAGTTAGGATTATTAATAAATATATTTTAACTTTTCAAATATTTACTATGTCTTACCGTGTTAACAATGCAGAAATTGAGGGACAACATCCACTTCTAAAAGTTACTCCTGTGAGATTCTTAAGAATCAGACTTGTTTTGACTGTAAATAAAAAAATATGAATTTAGATTATTATTTCCATAATGACAGGCTGTATGTTTGCATTGGCTTTGAGATGGAGTAAAAAATTGTATAATTGGTTTTTATTTACTCCTTGTAATGTCGAAGAGACAGGAACTCATTATAGGGTGGATACATAGAATGGTCAATAATTTACATTAGAAAAACAGTAGATGAATGGCATTTATTACTTTACATTTAGGTAAAATTAATTTTGAATTTAGATTGCTTAAATATGCATTCGATCCAAAAACTCAATGTTATCAGCCAATTGAATTTGAAACTGACGGAAAGATAATCAAAGATATAATAGGGAATCGTAACGTATTGACTCAAAACTTAAAAATATAATATTATGGGAAATGTTAACTATAAATACCTATTCAACCATTAGCAGAGTTTTTATTTGAGCATTTAACTGGTCCGTTCAACATCCTTTAATATTTTGCTGTTGCAGTATGGTTTGCTTAAAATTCAATAACATTTCCTATTCTAATATTGGCGTTTACTGCAATAGCTGTTGTGGTTAATTATATACTATATAGAAGATCAAGAAGTCTTTTATAAANCAAAGTAATTATGAAATTTCTTTGAATATTAATAACTTTATTCTCGATTTAAAAGTTATTGATATTATTTTCTCCAATGAAATTTTATTCAAATGTAGATAGTGTAGAAGTAAAAATCATATAAAATGAATTGATAGGTCATTTAGATTTTATCATTAATTTATAGTATAATTCGTAGAAGATGTAAATAAAAATATATTAATGGAGTCAGTTTTAATAGATTATCTAATTTGATGGGTAGAAAAAACACAAATTAAAATAAGATTTTAATAATTCGAATAAAAATTCAGAATCTTAATATTGAGTAGATATTGATGAAAAGAGAGCAATATCTTGAGTATTATACTGAAAATTTATGGAAAAATTAAATCTTTCAGTGATAAAGGGCATTTGTTAAATAAATGAATAAAAGTTATCTAAAACAAATTATGAGATTCAGTTAAAGATTTATTAATTGAAATAATGTTTGATTAAATGTTCTGTGAACGTTAAAAATCTTTTGAATATATAATGTTAGCTTTTTTAAGTTAGGATTATTAATAAATATATTTTAACTTTTCAAATATTTACTATGTCTTACCGTGTTAACAATGCAGAAATTGAGGGACAACATCCACTTCTAAAAGTTACTCCTGTGAGATTCTTAAGAATCAGACTTGTTTTGACTGTAAATAAAAAAATATGAATTTAGATTATTATTTCCATAATGACAGGCTGTATGTTTGCATTGGCTTTGAGATGGAGTAAAAAATTGTATAATTGGTTTTTATTTACTCCTTGTAATGTCGAAGAGACAGGAACTCATTATAGGGTGGATACATAGAATGGTCAATAATTTACATTAGAAAAACAGTAGATGAATGGCATTTATTACTTTACATTTAGGTAAAATTAATTTTGAATTTAGATTGCTTAAATATGCATTCGATCCAAAAACTCAATGTTATCAGCCAATTGAATTTGAAACTGACGGAAAGATAATCAAAGATATAATAGGGAATCGTAACGTATTGACTCAAAACTTAAAAATATAATATTATGGGAAATGTTAACTATAAATACCTATTCAACCATTAGCAGAGTTTTTATTTGAGCATTTAACTGGTCCGTTCAACATCCTTTAATATTTTGCTGTTGCAGTATGGTTTGCTTAAAATTCAATAACATTTCCTATTCTAATATTGGCGTTTACTGCAATAGCTGTTGTGGTTAATTATATACTATATAGAAGATCAAGAAGTCTTTTATAAAAATTAGCAAATATTCATTAGGATGTAACATTGAAGAGTGACACATTAAGAACTGTCAATGGATCCGAGTTACTGCCAGGAGATTATATAATATTAAAAGAAGGATAATAATTGAATTGTGATTGTGCTATTCTTCAAGGAGATGTAATGGTGAATGAAGCAACATTAACAGGTGAAAATGTTCCAATCCCTAAAACATCATTACCTGATCATTCAGTCAAATTTAATTTCGAATAATTAAACCAACACTGTCTATTTGAAGGTACAAGTATAGTTAAAGTAAATTCAACAACTGAGAATTATGCAATAGTACTTAGAACAGGTTTCAGTTCATTAAGAGGTTAATATTTTAGAAATGTTTTATTCCCTGCCCCTCCTTCTTAAAGATTTTATGTATAAGCTGCCAAATTTATACTATCTTTTGCAACAATCATAGCTATTGTATATGGTTTTATGTTAATAAAATATATTCCTATGGAATTTAAAACAAGTTTATTAGTTTTAAGATTTCTTGATAATATTGTTTGGTCCATACCTCCTTCAATGCCTATATTTTTTAACATTTGTAAAACAGCTAGTTTAGTTAGATTGGGTTCAATTGGTATCAATGGTAGTAATGCTGATAAAATTGAATCTGCTGGACGTATTGATACTTGTTGTTTTGATAAAACTGGTACTTTAACTACTCTAGGGTTGAAAGCAATTTAAGTTTGGACTCATGATCAATAATTAGTAATTTATTTATATTAAAATTATTTAATAGGAATCAATTGCTAATTATATTCTAGCATGTTGTCACCATCTTTTGTTAATTAATGGGGAATTACAAGGGGATCCACTTGAAATTGAAATGTTAAATTTTATTGGCTGGAAAATTAATTTTGAAGGCAAAGCTTTTTTTTCTGTTAAAAAAGATTAACAAGAATTTGAAATCATTAAAATTTTTGATTTTAGTTCTGCAAGATAAATGATGAGTGTTATAGCTACTGATGGATCTAATTTCTATTTATTTTCTAAAGGATCTCCTGAAATGATTAACTAATAATCTTAAGATAAAAAATAAGTTGTTTTAGATGAGGTTAAAAAATATGCCTCTAATGGATTTAGAGTATTAGGATTAGGTTATCGTAAATTAAATAACAACCAATTAGATTTATAAAGGGAAGAATTAGAAACATAATTAAATATTGTAGGAATGTTTGTTTTAGAAAATCCTTTAAAAGATGATACTCCACAAGTTATTTAAACATTAAGAAACAGTGGCCTTGATATCAAAGTTATTTCTGGTGATAGTCCTTTAACTACTATTTATTGTGCTAAAATATCTGGAATCATTGATTTCAATTCTGAAGTTATTATTTTGGATTATAATTAATCTAAAAAATAAATTGTTATATTCGATAATGAAGATCAAGCTATATATGATGAAAATATTGTAGAAAATTAAAATATAATTGAATAAGTTATTCAAAATCCTAAAATGACTGCTGTTACTGGAAAATTTTTGGAATTTATTTCTAAATTTTTAACTGTAATTGATCCAAATAGAGATACCACAATTACTATGACTTAAAATAATTCATCTAACTAAATTTTTACTGAAAATAATGCTATCGAATTCGATGATACAAAAATGAAAGAAATTACTATGAAATTAATTTCTAAAACTAGAGTTTTTGCTAGATAAAAACCTGAACAAAAAAAATAAATTGTTGCTCTTCTTTAAGAAATGGGAAGATAAGTTATGATGACTGGAGATGGTGCTAATGATTGTGTATGATATTTATAATTTATAGATTAGTCTGCTATAGCTTAAGCATAAGTTGGAATTTCATTTAGTGAATCTGATGCATCTTATACTGCACCTTTTAGTTCTAAATCCACTTCACTGAAATGTTGTATCTAAGTATTAGCATAAGGAAAAGCAGCTATTATGACTATTATTGAAGTTTTCTAATATTAACTTAGTGTAAATGGAATAAAATTTGCTGCAGTTACCATTATGTTTTTAGAAGTTTAAAATTTTTGTAATACTTCTTAATCTATTATATTTTAGCCGAATTTTAAACTGTATATGTTGGATTCATTTCCAATATTCCATTGCTAATCTTTTTATGTATATCTTCACCTGCTACAGAATTAGCAGAATATATACCATTAGATGATCAATTTTCCTATTAAAATCAAATTTAAATCTACACTAATATTTTCTTTGCTGTTTTAGGGTATAATCAATTCAATAATCTAGTCTATGTATAAATTATGGTATACTCATTACAACTGATAGATTCTTCGAATACTCTAAGCCTATCGAGAAATTTTAAAGAGAAGGATACTTAAATTCATTAATGTTTTTAAGTTTGATGTATTACTTCATGTCTTTTGGAGTATCAATATACGTATCAAATCCTTTTAAAGTCAAATACTATAAGAATATCTTACTAACATTATGGACAACTCTTGGTTTTGTTGTAGCAATAGTATCATTTATATTTCCTTAAAGAGCTTCTTGGTGTGATGTGATAGATATTAGAGAAGACACGTAAGAATTAATAATATTTTTTAATTCAGCTTTAAAGGATTCAATTGGGTAATATTAACAGTGGTCATAGTAACATCTTTTTTTGGGTTTTTTGTCCAAGCTCTTTTTTAAAGATATATTCCATCAATGTATAAAATAACACATAAGAAATGAATAATAATATCATAACAAATATAAAATATTAATGTAAAAGATTAAATACAGATGCTGTTGATATTTAATGATTGAACTCATTCTAGTATTTTAAGTCTTTAAATATAAAATATAATTATAAATCCGTTTTATTAATTTTATTAAATGCTTATTTTGCTTTTATTGGTTGGAAGCCTATCATAAAACACTTAGTATTTATGACTAAAAATTATTAGAGCTTTATAGTTACATAACGGTTGATGATGCCTTATCTGATCTGTTAAAAAAATAGCCAAAAGGATATAAACCATGGCATCCATCTTTGAGTGTGAGATTACGTGTATAAGAAGAAGAAAGAACTTAAGAATTTTATTCATTTGTTTAATAGCAAATAAAAATCAAATAAAGAGGAATGAATACTTAACATCCAATGCAATTTGTATAAGTATAAGGGCCAGAATTTTTTGAGAATTTGGTTTGCAAATGTAGTTTTTCTCCTGCAGAAGTAGCTTAAGAAGAAGAAGAAGGAGGTGAAGGAGGAGATGAAGCAGATGCAGGTGGTGCATGTGAACCTGAAGGTGGTGGTGAAGGAGAAGGAGAAGATGGAGGAGGAGAAGAAGTGGAATTCATTGTTAAAAAAACTAAAGCACACGGAAAAGACTTTAGTTTTCTATAAGTTGGAACTTAAAGTAATTTAAATTAATATATTCCTTAACCTTAATAAGTAGATTAATTATCCTAATATGATTAAAGACTTTTAGCTTAAGAACAATTAATAAAACAGTTTATGGAAAAATAAAATTAACTGACTTAATAATTATCTATGTTACAATAAAGTTAAGGTGTATTTGTTCCATCACTTTTTCCAACTGTTGTAGATCCCAATTTCTTAACTCCTTAATAATAAGCATAGATGCTTTACTTACTATAATTGCAATAACAATAACAATAAATTCAATAACAACTACTCTAACAACAAATGCTTAACCAATTATCATTCCAATCTAATCCAACAATGTTAAAAAATGAAAATGCTTAAATGCAACAATAATTTCAAATTCCAATTCAATAACCATTTGTTTATGCTCAACCAGTTACTTAAAATATTTTGAATCCATAGTAATTATTGCTTTAACAATAACTACTTTAATAATAGTAAATATCTCAGCAATAAATTCCTTAATAAATAAACTAATAGTAATTACTCTAGCAACAATAGTAGTTGTTAAATCAATAGCAGATATCATAACCATAATAAATTGGATAACCTAATATTCCCCAACAAATACCACAATTCTAATAATCATAAGTCCCTCCTATTATTATACCAGGTTAATAATAGTAATTTTCAGGTTTTCAATAACAACCAGTTTAATAATAAATTCCTTAACAAGTTTAATATTAAAATTTATAATCACAATCAACTTATCAATAGATTCCTTAACAATAAATATAATAATAATAGATGCCTTAAGAATAATAAATGCCTTTATAATAATAAATACCTTAATAATAGTAAATACCTTTATAATAATAATAAATACCATAATAATAGATACCATAATAATAATAAAATGGATTTCTATAATAACCACAATAATAACAGAACATTCCATAATTCGATTAATTGGTATATAAATATGTTAAATTTAGTTGGCTTAATAAATGGCTTAACCCTTGATGTAACCTTAGTTCTTGTAAAAATAACCATAAATTATTGGCGGAGGGTGATCAGTACGAAAAATTTGAAATAAGATAAATTTAAGATATTATTTTATTATGTTCTTAAATCATTATTTCATAATTTCTTGCTCATTTAGTTCATTTAATTTGTTAAATTAATAAATTTTAAAGTATTAATGATGCAAAAGTTCATAAGCATCTAATCTCTTTTCAGGGTTGACTTCTAACATTTTAAATCTATAAATGTATATAATATAGAATTTACAATAAATCTTTAGTCAGAGGTGGCAAAGTGCTATAAATAAGATCAGCAGGATTGATATTACATTCTTTGTTTAATTTTAGCATTTCCGCATTCCCCTTTCCTTAAAATATTTCCTTTCCTAATAAAAGTAGATGAAAAATGGCTCCGCAACTAAAAATATCACATTTTTTACTATATCCCCTCGATTTATCATTCATATTAGCAACTTTTTCTATTATTATTTTATACTTTCAGGAGCTACAAATCCAGGTGTGCCGCATTTAGGAAATAAATAAGGAGTGAGTTTACTAATGGCAGATAAACCAAAATCTGCAATTTTGAGCGTCGAAAAATCATTAGGATTTGATAATAAAATATTTTCTGGTTTTAAATCTCTATGCATGATGTCCTTGCTATGAATATACTCAACTGCTGATAAAATATTTTCCATAATCTGCAATATTTATAATAATATACTTGTTAAATTTCATAATCATCAAACTTGCATTATCTTTTTTTGATTTCTGTCAATAAGCTTCCACCTTGACATAAATCCAAAATCAAATATATATTATTATCACCATCATAAACTTCATGAAGATTAACAATCTATGTATGTGGACTTAGAATTCTCATTATATATATTTCATTTTAAACTGCTTTCGTTCCATGTTCTATGCTAGAAAGTTATTTTTTATCAATGCATTTTGCAGCAAATTATAAATTTGAATGTAAATGTTTTAATTGAACAACTAGTGAATAGCTGCCTTATCCCAAAGTCTCTAAACGCTCAAATTCATCTTAAATACTCTCCTAATACACATATTTAGCTATTATTCTTTTTAAAGCTAATAAAGTTTCAGACTCTCCATAATATTTCTTTTATTCTTTTTCTGTCACTATTATAATATTTCTTAGAGATGTTAGGTTGGGGGTTTTCTTTGATTTTTTATATTTCCATATAACTTTCTTTATTTATGTCCAAGAATAAATTTTCATTGGATAACCTTTCTTTGAATCTTTGTTCATTATTAATTTATCTTCAAATAAGTATACATAACGATTAAACCATCCTATTAGTTTCTTTTTCTTAATTTGACAATGAAATATTGATAATGAATAATCAAATTTATTTTATTACATAATTCTAATTATTTAAATTAATTAAAATCAATTCATATTCATAAACCCATAATATTTTATTTTATATTAAATTATATAAGACAAAATTTTTAAATATAAATTTTACTTACCTGGCGAGCACTGCTGATGATCATGCAGATCAGTAGTGTGGGGTTAAGCTGGCCATCGCACAACCGGCGTCAGTGAGGCCCCAAAACTTTCCGTTTGGAAAGGCTTTATCGCTCAATTTCTGCTAGTGAGGGGAAACCCTCGCACCCTCTTTCATTTAATTAAACAAACGAAATTTAATATGAATTTATAAAATAAATAATGTTCTTCTTTCATTCATCTCTTTTTTCATTTACTTCTTAGATATATTAAAATAAAAAATTACTTTCTATGTTTCATTAATAATATTATGCAATATGTTTTGTAATAATATTTTCATAATTGTGTTGAGTAGTTTAAAGAAAATCCCAAAATTTTTGGTTCTCAATTTATATCTAAAGAAAAATTTTTACTACCTTTTATTTCAAATCTTTTATATTTAGTGTTTATGATACAATAAATAATAGATAAAGAAAATTAAAGAACTTATTTTATTAATAGTTAAATAAATACTGAATAAAGTACTGGTAATGATGAGTAATTATTAAATTTTTAAGCATAAAGAGATTTGAGCATATTAGCTATTTTATTAAATTTAAAATAGTAAATTAGATGGGTTGTTCTATACAAAAATCGTCTGATCGTATACTGGAGAGCAAACGATACTCCGAAAATACAAATACACGTAAAACTATATGAATTACAACATTAGTAACACCAGATAAAAAACCAAGTTTAGATGTTTTTAATCCAATATTAGGGAAAGTAGTACAAGTACCAATTCTGGTACCTGCTTCTAAAAGCAGTATAATGAAGAGAAGGAGTACATAGATGACTATAGGATTATGAATTAGTATTGATTTGATAATATTTATATAATATTGTATTAGAAATTAATGGAACCTAGACTTCCACAATACACTTTATTTTTTATTACAATAAATAGTTTATTGAATGAAAAGGTAATAAATAAACAACAAAAAACTGAATTAGAATAAGGGATTTTAAAAAAAGAGAAAAATATTATGGAGATTGTTAGCAAATATGGAAACAAAGACATGTAAAATAAAAAAAGAGTATGAATAATAGGGAATAAAAATTTCGTGAATAATTAGTTTAGTACGCTAATCATAAATAAAAAGATGTCTTTGTACCTCATATCAAGCATTTAGAAAAAAATAAAAGTACAAAATTTAGTGTAAGTGCTCGTCAAATTTCTTTTTAACAAGATGACCTACTAATTGAAAGCAAATAAGAAGTATAATTTTTGTTAAAATAAAGTCGTTATCACCATTTATTTTGCAACTAATTGAATAACTTGACACAATGCTATCGATACATATGACAAATGGAGGAAAATTTGTTTAAACAGATGTTGAGAGATTAACTTAATTAAGAGATTAAATTAACAAATATTTAGGGATTTAATATGAGTAGGAATTAGACAATGATTCCCCTGTAAGATGCAGAAACATTAGTGTTTGTGGAAGAGTAATATCAGAGTAATAAGATGATAAATCAGATTTAGTTGATACTAGTGTTCAGTTAAAAAGTAAATATCATTTACAAATAATCGAATAAATTAAATAAACTTATGTTTAATTAAAAGTATATACATGATTCTTATAGTAGAGTTTATTTTTGGGTAGTTTACATACTCATTATTTATTAATGTAGGAAGAACTTTCATACAATAATTTAGTGAATGTAGTTAAATCAATAATAAAAGAATTGACAGATTCAGATGAAATTTACTTTTTAATAAAAAGAAATGAAGAGTGGGATTTTTATTCTACAGAGAAAGACTCAATAAGATAGATAGAGAAAAATAAGTAATAAGTATTCTTTGAAAATTTTTCACATTTGAAACCAAATATAGTTTATAACTTTTAAAATAATGAGTAGCAAACAAAGTAATTATAATAAGTATTGGATTTGAATTCTTAATTTACAGAGCTATCAATTATAAGATTTATAAATCAGAATAAATAAGAGACGTTTTTCTTTTTTTATTGGAATAAGCCTGGGAGAAATAAATTGTTAAGAAGATTTATAAAGTATAGCATTTGATTAATAAAAAGTGAAGCAAACGAATATAGATTCAAAGATGAAGTTTTATCGTTAATGAATTTTTTGATAGATGTAATTCTGTAGGCAAGAGTGCAATATTTTAATCCAGTGTAATTTGCAGATTAGATTTTGGATATAGCTTTGAGTTTTGTGGAATCATCATAATATATATTAATTGATGAAATGTTTAGGGCTTTGAATCCATATTTTAAAATAAAAAAAGATTATGCATTTTCAGAAGATGGAAGATAAAAAGTAGAGACTGACACTTCTGTAAGAATAGAGATGGAGTGTCGTAATCCAATAGCATTGATTTTAGAGGAATTTTATTTAAATAGACAGGATCATCTATATATTTATACAGAGATATTGAAATTGAAATCTAAGTATTAAAGACATTTAAGATTGTGTCATGAGAAAACAGCATATTATAAGTATTTTTTAAGATCTTCAGATACAATTTTATTTGATTTTGATAAAAATGGTAGACTTTTATTTTTGAATCATTACATATGGGAAACTTTGAAATAGAAATATAATATAATATTTTCACCTGAAAAAAGGACTCCGAATTATAAAGAGTTGTTTACAGATGAAAGGATATTAAAATATATAGATCTAGATGAATTTATGATGAAGAAGAAAAATGAGTATATTTAGCATGAAGATTTTGAGATATTTTTAAAAGTGGTAGATCATGTATATAAAGGTTTTGTGATTATATTTCATTTACAAGAGGGGTCGAGAATGAAAGATTATATAAAGAATTTGAAAAATGAAGAGTAATTAGAGGATGAAATAAAATAGTCAATTTAAAGATCATATAATAAACATCAAACATTCAAATTTATATCTCAATTATAAAAATCAAATCCTAGTGTAAAGAATTCTTATATATCTTTATTTATTCCAGAAGAGTAATCTTTGGATAGTTAGGAATAATTACAATAATCAAATAGTTCTTTATAAGTAAATAGAAACAAGAAACCTAGATTGAGTATTTCAATGTTAGGGAAAACAATAAAAGCTTTTAATTATTTAGGATCTAAAATGCGTATAAAGTCAATAGAATCAGCATTGGAGATAGAGGAAGATGATGATTTAGACACATTGTATGAAGATTAGACAATTGATAAATTTGAATTTAATATCTTTTCTGTAATTATATAAGATTTATAGATGAATAGTATAAGGATAATATGAAAGCGAAATTAGTATATCATATTATAAAGAAGAATGATTGGATTGATAATTATGATATGAATGAGGAAGTGTTGATGAAATTTATAAAAGAAGTTGAGAGAAAATACAATAAAAGAAAGAACCCTTTTCATAATTTTGATCATGGTATAACTGTAATGCATAGTTGTCATTTATTATGTTGTTTACCAAGAGCACATTAGTATTTAAGTGAGATAGTTCATTTTGCAACTGTGATTTCAGGATTATGTCATGATATTTCTCATACAGGAAGAACAAATTAATTTGAAATAAATAGTAAAAGTAAATTAGCTACAAGATATTTGGATAAGAGTGTAATGAAATTAGAATTTATTATTATAGCCTTTAGAAAATCATCATGCAGCAGTAACATTGAGATTATTTAATTAAGATAAATATAATATATTATCTGGATTGAGTGTTGAGGATCTATCAACTTTCAGATAAACACTGATTGAAAATATATTATTTACAGATATTAAATAACATTTTGGATTAATTAAAGATTTTGAATAGAGAGTTAAAGAAAGTAAAGAGAATTAAGATAAGATGTTTGGTAAGGTTGATGGTGATGTTAAATTATTTACAGGAATGATTGTTCATACTTCTGATTTTAGTGGGGCTGCAAAAGTATTTGAATTATCTAAAGCTTGGACAGAAAAAGTAAATATGGAATTCAAAGCATAATTTGATGAAGAAGGAACTCGTAAGATTACTTAAACACCTTTTATGAAAGATTTAGATAAATAAGAAATAATGGCAAAAAATGAAATGGGATTTTTTAAAGTTATTGTGAGACCGTTATGGGCAAGTTTGAATGAGTTTTACGTATTTTTACAAATTTGAATATTTTAGGATAAACAATTGTAGGATATTATTGATAATGTAGAGAACACCATAATTGAATGGGAGAAGATTTATCACACATATAATGAATAAGAAAAATAAAGTTGAACTGTAAATTATATATTTCGTTTTTGGATATTTAAATTTATTTATAATTTATGAGTGAAAGAAGAGAAGAGGATACAACTCTTGTTTAAGCAGCTATTCCAGTTGCCTTAGATGGTGTAAAATAAGCTGAACAATTGGAAAAAAAGATTAAAGAGTATTCATTATAAAAGATATATTAATGTATAGATAAGGAGGATAAAAACTTGAAGATGCTGAAAAACAAGCAGAAGAATAAATTGCTAAAGTTTAAGGATTTATTGGTTTAACTGGAAGTTAAGCATAAATCGCTTAATAATAATCACTAGCTGTAGCTGCTGCATAATATCTTGCAGGCAGTTTATTATCTATGTTGATTCTTTAACTTGGTTTCTTTGGATCCATTCTTACTTTTATTCCATTCTTAGAATAATTGACAATTATTTTATATTTAGTTTCCATCTTAATTGTTCAATTCTGTCCAGCAACTTTTGATAAAGTATATATATAATTATTATATATTATTAGGTTCCTAGAAATTTTGGATTCTGTATTGTCCATTCAGCCAGCAAAATTTTATTAATGGTTTATCTTACTCTTCATTTTGAATCAATCAAATTTGAACTTATTCAATTAGTATTTGGAATAGTCATTCTATTCTTATTATATTAAATTAAATAAGGAATAAGTAATTTAATTATTATATTTTTAGCTGAAAATTAAGACATTGCCTTAGTCGTTAGAAAATAATTCTTTACAGTTTTAATTGTATCAGCAGTGATCTCAGGATTTTTGGGATTGTTAACAAGATCAAACTTATTTATTACTATTCTGTTAATTATTATTGGAGCTGGTTACACCTATTATTTATAATTGGCTTTGTAAAGATTTTGTGATCACAAATTCTTATTTATTAATAAAAACGATTTGTACATGGGAGCTGCCTAATTAGATGCTGATTTATTCTTATGGTGTAAATTGGTTGGTTTCCATTGTTTTAAGAAAAATGAAGGAGGAGCTTATGTTCCAAATTTAGAGTTTGAAGAAGAAAACAAATAAAAAGTATCAGAATCATAAGAATAAAATAAAATATGAAATATTCATAAGAAAAAAAAAATAGAAAATATTATTATTACCTTCATATATAAAATATTTATTAGATAAGATTTTAATAATTATTTTTATATGTTTGATAAATTTTGCATTAGACATTCAGCATAAATTCTTACTCATTTTTGTTCAAATCAATTGTGCCCTTAATTTCTAACATTTTATTGTACTCAATGTGAGATAAAGCAATGCAATAAAAATTATCATCTACAGTAATTTGAGAATTTAAGCTATTTCATAAATAAATTAGTTTTGCCTTATTTTGGTATTTTTTATCAAATCAATCTTAGATACAAAATAAATTGAGTATTGTAAACAATAGATGAATAAAATAATTAGTAATTTCAATATAATATAGGATAAGATCATTAATGATTATGATAAGGCAATTGAAAAAATTATTGAATAGTATCTTATCTTTTTAATAAAGCATTTAGAATAGAAGTAATTCATTTAAGACTGAAATCATAAGTTAAATAGATTTTCAAAAATAATATATGATTGAAAAGTTGTAAGAATTCTAATAGACAATGGATAAGCATTATAATGCTTATAAATTTTCATATGATCAGATAAAAGCAGTTTTAAATGTTTAGGATAGCAATGTTCATATTGAAGAACATTATAGATAGATTAATATGATCAAATTGCAAGAATATTATAACATATTATTAAGAATGCAACCTGAATTAGAGATTTTGGCAACAGAAAATAGTTTATAAATAACAAAGGAATAATAGATAATTGAATCATTTAATCATAATATTTATAAGGAATTTAAAGATAAGATTACAGAATATTCTGAAAATATCTTAACTATTCTTTGGAGTAAATATTATTCAATGACGTCGAATATTCATTTGTATGAAAATAAAAGTATTATTAATATAATCATTATAATTAGCTGAAAGTATAGCTTAATCTGAGATAGTTGAAAATATTAGAATAAGTAGATCATCATCATCTAATACTTATTCAGTATTTAATGAAATTGATAATATAATAGCAATGGGCTAACATATCAATAATAATACATCTATCAAATTGAAAAGTTAGAGTTATGGTTACACAAAATTTAATTTGATGAATTAAGGATAATTAAGTATTAGGTATGATTAATTGGAAAATTAATAACAATTGCCAGTAATCACACCTCATTGTATTTTGGTCATAAAAAATTAAAATATCATCTTGACTGCTGGAGATAGTAATACTATATTTGTTTGGATACATAAAAAAGAGTCTAATCTATGGAGATTAGAATCATAGTTAGTATTACCAAATAAAGAATAATAATATATTCAGTGTATGGAATTACTTTATAATCCTTTTATAAGTGAATCAAGAAATAGTAAATAAAGTTTTGCAAATCTAAAGGTTTTATTAAATCCTATCATTGCTGTTTGTGGTCAAAATAATATCTACATTGTTTAATTAGATATCATGACTAATTAAATAACAATACAATGTCATTATACAATAAGAGACCAAAAAGAATAAGAAGTACACGCTGTTTAGCAATGTTAAATTATTGGTAGTTATAATTATTTCATTGTTGGTATGGAGAAAGGAACAATGATTTTATTTAATTATATTATTAGTATTGATAATACTTTTTCAATTAGAATTGATTAAATGATCAAATAACATAAAGATTGCATTACAAGTATTGAAATTATAGGTGATTAATTGATTGCTGTTGCAAGTAATGATAGATCTGTAACTATTTGGTAATATTTTAATAATAAACTTAAATTATTGCCAATCAAATTGAATAGATTCTGGGAAGATATCTCATGTATTAGATAAGTTTATACCAATTCTTTTATTACATTTGATTCCAATTTTAATATTACTTAATGGTATTTAGAAAATTAAAATAAAATTGTTATTATAAACAGCCTTTAATCCAGTAAATTAAAATAAGAAGTCTAAGAGGCAATGATAATAAATAATCCAGATAATTCTTAAGATTTTTGTATTTTATTACTCATAAGAGAACAAATAAATAACTATAAAATTATTATTTTGGATAGATATTTCTCAGTTGTATCTTAGGAATCTTTACCTTAATAATTTTAAAGTTATTTGACCATTACAAGAAAAAAGCATAATCATTACATTACAAATTATAAAATGAGAATAATTAATGATTCATTGCCAAACAAAGCATTCAGTTCCTTTATTGATGTTAAGTAGAATGAAAAATAGCCCAATTAATAATAATAATAATAATCTTTTACTTAATAGTAACAATTAAATTAGAACAAGAAGGTTAGTCTTGCCATCATCAATAATAGTAAGACAAATTTACATTTTATTGAAATCTCTTACACTATAGGGACTGAATGATTTGATGTATATTATGTATATCATGTATGTATGTGAGTTTATTAAAATTAAGAAATTTTTATTAAAGTTTAATAAATAT